TTAACTTACATTTTTCTGTATTAACTTAACTTAACGAGTTAAAATAATTAGTTAACTTGCCCAGCCTTGCGAATTTGTATGCAATACTAACTAGAAAGGTAAGTCTAATTTAAGGTTACTAAATGTTTTTATGAGTATATCATTTAACTGCCTACTTATTTAAATAATTTTAAGTGCTATAATAATATCGACTCTCGAACCTATTACAATAATAACTAATAACTTATAAGTCATAACATTTAAAGTAGTATCGCGCGGGATTAAAATCTCTGTCTCTTGAACGTGAGATATCCGTCGATCGGTCACTACACCTCCGCTCAACCCATCGCAAAATTAACGACTTCCTTCCAGCATAATATTACAAATTATATTGTTATACAATATACAGTCGAATCGTGTTTGGTGAAGGAGTATAAAAATCACTTTGAGTTTGATAAATATGTTATTCGAGATAACTAATTCAATGTTATAATATGTTGATTTTGATCAAGTAAACATATACTTCGAGTGATATAATTCGATGTTTTATTAAATAAGCGCAGGGGTAACCGCTGTCCGTGTATAGTAAAATTATTACAATGTATTGACCTACATACAAAATTCAAGTTATCATGTTTCGACTCTGTAGGTCGTTTTACCCGTACCTCGGAGGAAAACAACGAGAAATAGTCTTGAGCGCCGTTCTCACAGTGCGGCTGGTTCATCAGAGTTCGATTCTTTATGCCCACCTCCCAATTTCTCGATCCCATCGGCGGTCCTTGCAGTGTATTCGATCTCAACAGTAGCACGCTCACACTGGCCGTGTAATAGTTTTTGAACGTTATTTCACCCACCTATATATATGGTCCAAAAGATATAAGGTATTTAAATCGTAGATCATAGGTTCCGCAGCAACTTGGTGAATATACAATATATTACATATACATATTTTCTTATATATTTATGTCAAAGTAACAACAGTGCTCGAATTGGGGGGAGGGAACTCAGCTCCTATGGTACCTTTTGATTTTAAATAGCGTTTTCACATTTTCCTAAAAGAACGCACGCGTACGCGTGTAGTAGCTAGTAATTTTATTTTGCATTTATTCGATCTTATAAAATATTAAATAGCCAATAGGTACTGTAAAAAATAAAATAAACTCGAAAGTGTTGGAGAATTTTATTTTATTC